GCCGCGGGCGCCCTCGCGGCGGGCAGCCTTCGTTTCGCTCGCGCGGCGGCGGCGGCGGCGCTGTTGGCGGAGGGGACCCGGGACACCTGGATGCCCCCGGCCCCGGCTCCTCCGACGCGATGGGGAAGGTGCTGTCCAAAATCTTCGGGAACAAGGAGATGCGGATCCTCATGCTGGGTCTGGACGCGGCCGGCAAGACGACCATCCTGTACAAGTTGAAGCTGGGCCAGTCGGTGACCACCATCCCCACCGTGGGCTTCAACGTGGAGACGGTGACTTACAAAAACGTCAAGTTCAACGTGTGGGATGTGGGCGGCCAGGACAAGATCCGGCCGCTCTGGCGGCATTACTACACCGGGACCCAGGGTCTGATCTTCGTCGTGGACTGCGCCGACCGCGACCGCATCGACGAGGCCCGCCAGGAGCTGCACCGCATTATCAATGACCGGGAGATGAGGGACGCCATAATCCTCATCTTCGCCAACAAGCAGGACCTGCCCGATGCCATGAAACCCCACGAGATCCAGGAGAAACTGGGCCTGACCCGGATTCGGGACAGGAACTGGTATGTGCAGCCCTCCTGTGCCACCTCGGGGGACGGACTTTACGAGGGGCTCACATGGTTAACCTCTAACTACAAATCCTAATGAGCCTTCTCCACCCATCCCCCGGAAGGAGAGAAATCAAAAACCCATTCATAGGATTATCGCCACCATCATCACCTCTTTCAATTGCCACTTTCTCTTCTTTTGAATTTGAACTCTGGAGTTACTGTTCTACGGTTGGGGGGGGCGGTTGGGTTTTCTTTTTTCTTTCTATTTTTGGCTTTGCGTTAGATTGCTCTGATATGACATTGACATGAACACAGTGCTAGATGCTCTTGTTGACCTCCAACAAAATGGGGTGGGGGAAATAGCATTTCTTGGGAAAGTCCTTTATAATGGTTTGATTTTTTTTTTTTTTTTTAATTTTGATTTTTTTTTTCCAATGTATGCTTTTTTTTCCTTTTTGCCCAGTTTCCTTATCACTTGCTGTAGATGGCTTATTTTGCATCCATGCAGACTATGTTGCAAGTCTGTTTCATCTAGTAAACTGAAAATTATTGCTTAATCAAACTGCCGTTTGTCTTTTATATTTAAGGCCTCCCCCCAACCCTCCCTCATTAGTTCTATCTTTAATTTAGTAATTTCAAATGTGATCTTTTATATCTAAGACCAGTATGGTAAATTTAGCCCACAGTGGCAAATAATGAGTAATATCATTGTAACATGTTCCAGTTGAACATCAGTATGTTAAACAGGTAATGTAAGAAGTTGTTTGAAATGTTAGCTATTAAGTTCTGAAACACATCATGCATGAGTAGGAATAAAACCCAAGTTTCCCATAACATAGCTAACAGCATAAAAACATGAAAGTGCAACCTGTCAAGGGCAGAGTTTTTTCCACTGCAAAAGTTAGTAGTAACTTTGCTGTTTTCCCTCCTTAAAATAGACTCCTTCCAGAAAATGGAGCAATAATGGTATATGCCACAGACAGATGAAACATTTGTAGATATTTTAAATGACTTGGGCAAAACTGGAATATATACTTTTGTTTCAAACATCTAAGACCAGTAGTTTTAAAATTACTAAAATGTTTATTCACTCATAAAAGCATTTAACAGTTTAGATTATATGCACCTTTTGCCTAGTTGGAGAAATACACATTCCTATTTTCACATTACAGCAATCAGTTAAGCTGAAGGTGTAAGTCATTTTTTTATAGATGAATGATCCACATCTCCATTAATTAGAACACTGGAAAAAATTTTATAAGGTATTTAATTTTGCTTGATTATAGGATTAATTCATGCAAATAGATATCCTGTGGGTTCAATAGTACACTGTCTCCTTTAAGAAAGGCAATGTGATGTGTGAATGATGGGTAGATTTCAGGAATGACCAAGGGGAAGTGAGATTAGAACCTACAGATGACAATGAATGTAAACTTTTCTTCAAGGGTAAGCAGTTTGCTCACTGGTGATAGCCAGATCCTAACAAGGTTAGCTGGTGGGGACCTGTAACTAGATTGAGACCACTATGTTGATATTTTGAACCAAATGTTAATGCTTGATTCAGAATTGTGAAGCAGCATCTGGTTCTAGCCTTAAGGATTAAGTTTAGCGATCCTCAAGGAATTAAACTTAGGGAATTTCAGAAATGTAGAGTGCAAAGGCAGTATACAGGAAAAGGCGAGGTGGGTTTTGTTTATGAGGGTATCTGAAAACTAAAAATGAGCGGGATATCATGGTATAGTTGGACAGTATTAGTCCTTCACGTTTTGGCCATATTGTACAATGGAGCTTTTACCAAAGACGTATGAGAAGCATAAGGATATTAAAAACTGTTCAAAGTAAAACTCAACATTTAAAGCAGATGAGAAAAGGTGCTATGTTGTAGGATCCTGGCACAGAGGGTTTTTTTAAATTCAAACGCAACTAAAGTATAAAGTTCTCAGTTTCACTTTGGTAGTATCTGTAGAAATGAAGCTGATAAATACATTTAAGAATATTTTGGTTGCTTTTTAAAATTCCCAAAGCTCCACCATAAATGTAATTGTTGGTGTTTTAAATGATTACATTTTAGGGTACATAAACAAGGGTTATACAAATATCAATGCTATAGTAACATCCTGAAACAAGCACAAAAAGTATAAATGCCTAAACTGGAGGAAACTTGAAACCCTCATGTTAATTCTTAAATGTAGTATTTCTAACTTGTGGCGGACAGATAGGTAGGCAGCCATTTTTTTTGTGTCTTAAAAATAACTGGGGGGCATAGTTAAAATTTTATACATCAAGTGATTGCTGTTACTGAATGTTGCAGGTGAGATGTGGTTTATATTTTAGTTTATTGAAATGTCTGACTGAAAAAGGGGGAGGGGGAGGCAAATATTTGAAATTTGGAAAATCCTGAACCTTTTGGAAAGAAATCGTAATTCTCACATTTTCTTGAAGGTATAAAAGGTTTATAATTGATATAGTTCAATTGAGCCATAACAATTGGTGATTGTGCAACAGGTAATTATAGCCTGCAAAAAAGTTATAATCTTAAGAATTTAAAAAATAAGACCCTGAAGGTTTTGTTCAATTGCATCAATTTCTTTCTGTATTTATGTGAAATTTTAAAATGCAGTAAGTTTTGAATGAGTTAATCTTGTCTAATAAGTAAATGAGTCTGTAGACTGTGATCTCCCCAAACTAAAAAGTACAGTATCTGGAATTGTGTTCTTTATGGTTGTAGTGTTGGTAAAGCACTAATATGCAGAAAATAAAGGAATTATACAGTGCAGTTTCTCACGTCATGTTACTCGTTGAACTAGTTAAATGGGATATGTTGGTGCATTGTGCCACGTTATTTTCCAGGGATGGATGGTAAAAAGTAATTTAATTGGGGACTCACTTGGCTTAGGAAAAAAAAAAAATTTAGTTCTTGTAAATGTTTAAAGAGGTTTGCCCTAGGTTAATTTTATCAGACCTAATCTTACTTTATGACAATTTAGGGCGCAAGAACTTTATTCATGTTGTTTTCAAATTGCATCATTAGCATTTTTAAAGGTATGGGATTGTTTGTAAAAAATTGACCTAGAGAGGTGGCTTAACGTTTAAAAATAGACTTGCATTGTAAAATTTCCTTTAGAGGTCAAAGTTGACCATGTAATATGGGCAGAAATGTAGTCACTTAAAAAGTAAAATTGTGAGGAATACCTTGTTGGAAAAAATGATTTTTAAAACACATTTTTTGTAAGCTTTCCTCTACATCAATTTTTTGTAGTTTGATTCTACAATGTCAGTGTGATAGTATGTTTAAACCCTACATTAATATTTATTACCATGTCTGATACTGTGATTTATTGAAATAATCCAAGATCAAATTGTCATTGGTAGAAGTAGTATTTTTCCCAGAAGCTTAGGAGTAGCCACAATTTGAATGGTTACAGAACTTACTAAATTCCCAAAGTTATATAAAGTAAGGGTTGTGAATAGGCAAGTATTTTGTCTCCCTTTGAAGGTAAGAATTGTATTTTTAAGACCATATTTAGCAATTTAAATAAAATATGGTCCCTGACCATAATGTATTTGGAGTAGAGCATTCCACAGAATCTAGTTTTTTTGCTTGCTTAAATGGCAGAGACTAAGGAGAAGCAATTACAGTATCAGGAAGTTTACAAACTGGAGTGTGGGGAGATGGAGCCATAGAAGAAGCAAAGTAATTTCTCCCTGCTTTGCCAAACTTCAAGTTGCCAGACTAGTTGAACTGGCAGGGAATGGGTGTAGATGAGATCAAAGAAGGCAGAACTAGTCTGTAGGGGACTGAGGAATTATAATTGAAATTTGTTATTAAGTAAACTAAAGTACTGGTAAACTTCCAGAGAACTAGACCACAACAACTAACCTCACTTTGTGATAGTAAGGAAATGCTTAATGTTTAACCCTTTTTCCCTCTACTGTATTTAAAATACTGTGACTCCTTGAAAGAATTTTAGCCATTTTGTTCTTGAACATCTGATTACTTGTTAAATTATTTCATATAGAATATATATTTCTGAAAAAAAAAAAAGAAAAAAGGAATATATATTTCTGTGCCAGAGATGTAGCTTAGTGGTGCAGTACCTACCTGGCAAGCACGAGGCCCTGAGTTTGATAAGTTTCCTCTGTAGTATTTGTTTTGTAAGTGTGAGGATAGGTTAAATTGATTTGAGAGCTTGCTAACGTGCCTGCACCTGTTCAAGTATTGGAGATAACATCTGTGAAAACAAAACCTGAAAGCATCTGCCTTTGTGGGATCCTTATGGAACTTACATGGGTAAGGTGAGGGGAGACCAAGGATCAGAGGATAAAATACGTTACATGTTACAGGGTATGTGGTGTACTATATATATTTAGAGCATGTTCAGAGAAGGATTCATTAAGAAGGCATTCGAGCGGGGGTGATGGAGCATGCCTGTAATCCCAGCCTTTGGGAGGCTGAGGCAGGAGATCTTCAGTGAGCTGAAGCCCAGCCTGAACTGCATAGTGAGACCCTGTCTCAGAAAACAAAACAAAACAAAACAAAAAACCCCCCCAAAAACAACAAATATTTGAAGGAAGAAAATATCAGTGTAATTGACACAGTAACAAGATAAGTGGTGTGGTACAAAGTAGGGGGCTGGGAAAACTGACCAAAGGCAAATCTGTTTTGTCCTGTTTTTATAAGAACTGTACTAACAATGACTTTTACATTTTTAAAAGATTTTAGGAAGTTGGGTGTGATGGTGCACACCTGTAATCCCAGCATTTGGGAGGGTAAGACAGGAGGATCGAGTGAATTTGAGTCCAGCCTGGGCTACAGAGCAAGACCCTGTCTTAAGAAAACCACAAAAAAGATTGTAAGAAAAAAATGAATATAGACTATACTCAGGAAAATCTAAGGTTTTTTAATCTGTTTCTTTTGGGGAACTATTTGTTGATTCCCAAGTCTAAAGACTACCAAACATTACCAAAATATGTAAAGAATTCAACAATTTAAAGGAAAAACAATTTTTTTTTGAGTCCTGGTCAAGGTGATCCTCCTGCCTCAGCCTCCTGAGTGCTAGGATTACATGTGAGCACCATCATGCCTGGTTTAAGACATTGTTAAACGAATGAGTTAAATTGGAATTTTAGGAAACATCGTATATCATTTATACATTCAGTGAGCCCTGAAAGTGTTCTAACCTGGATTTTTTTCTTAATTTAAATATGTGAAATCAGTAGTAAGGTCGGATTTGAAAATCATCCTTTTAAAATTTTCTGAATGATTTCTTCTTAAACTTTAGTTACTTTAATTGTAATTTTACTGGTTTTGGAAATAGGTTAAATGTGCTCCTCTGTTAAAGTGTCCTTTCCTCCACATAGCCCAGAACAGTTTGGAATAGGGTCAGACAACATCATTCAGTTGTGGCTTTTACTTATTCAGCATTACTGTAACCAAGTCTTGTCCAGTATTTTATATTCTGAAACTTTGTAAGAGGAAGTGTTTCGACTTGGAAACTACTTTGTTGTATGATACTGGTTTCTTCCAATATTACTCCTCTAACCACTGTGACCTAGGAAAAATAATTTACTGCATCTGTAAATTTTTCTTAACTGGAGAGTTGTTTTATACTGATATAGTAAGACTACAAAAAGAGAAAGGCAGACCTGGTGGCACTCATCTGTAATCTCAGCACTTGGGAGGCTGAGGCAGGAGAATCACTGAGTTTGAGGCCAGCCTGATCTACATAGTGAGACCCCATCTCAAAACAACAACAACAACAAAAAAAACAACCTAGAAACGAAAGTAGTTATGGAACTTGCATGAAGGACATTTGTAAATGAGCTTTAAAAAAACCACCCGGTAGTTCATGGAGTCATCTGTGTGAAACTGGTTACTGATGGCCATAGAAGGTGTTTTCCATTGCAGCTGATTAGACCTGCCGGAGTGTGTTGAGCAGGAGAGACAGGCAAACGAAAACAGCTGTTATAGTTGGAGAAGGAGGGAGTTGGAAATTGGTTATAGTAGGACAAGCCAAAGAGCTTTCTCCCCATATCTTTATTTTTCCAAGTTTTGTGAATAGATAGTAGGTTGCAGTTGGGTCTAAGGAGCTCGATTTGGGGGCTGTTCTGAGAGTAACAAGAGTTAGAACGTGTTGAAAGTTTGCCGTGTTTCAGGCATTGTCCTGCATTTCATGCATATTCTTCTGAGCCCTTACAACAGCCTTGGGGGAGAGGGCGCCAGTTTTACAGTGGACACAGAGGCCCGTGTTAGTAAACAGCTAAGCCAGAATTTGGGTTTAAGTACTGCGGTTTCTATTGGCTTGCACACATCACTGAGGCAAACCAGTGGTTAAAACTTTCTTCATTTTGTTTTGCGTGTGTACTTTTCAGCAAATGGCTTGCTTTGGGAAATTTCTTATAATTTTCTTACTGATTATCAGTACCATTTGTGTTTTTTTTTT